ATCTAACTATTGCTACAGAAAAGGAGCAAACATAAAGGGAGTAGTTTCTATCACAAACTGTTGGTGTGTGTGTTTGTCTCAGTGTGTGTGACCTGAAGGTCCAGCTGCTGGATCACAGCATGAGAAAAGCTCACTCAGAGATGGAGAGAGGGGGAAGAAGGAGCACAGGGAGGAAAAAGAAAGTTGGATTTAAACATAAGGACCGTGCTGATTGTAACTCTGTGTTGTTGAACAGGTCAGCTGGTCGCGGCTTCACACTGTGCCACTACAGCCACTGAGAGCTCCTCCACCTTCTTACACCGTGCTGTAACGGTTGATTTCTGTTTATGGTGGAGGCAAAGCAAAAGAAAAAACTCCCGTGTTGTAATATTACTTTAGCAGGAGTTTCAGTTAGCTTTGCACTACCTGTACTTTGACTGTTACTTGAATCAGTACTTCAACTAACACAAGTCTGTGTACTGCTAGTTAAGAATGTGTGTACTTGCCTGTGCACCTTGCCTGTTTATTCGTCTCGTATTGTTTTTGTGTGTGTGTGTGTGTGTGTGTGTGTGTGTGTGTGTGTGTGTGTGTGTGTTTTTTTGTATATATGTGTGTGTGTGTGTGTGTGTGTGTGTTTGCCTCTTTCTGTCTCAGTGTTGAGTTTATTGTGTTGTTGTGTATTTTCTGACAGTTGAACTGAAATCAGCCAGTGAGAGTGAAACAATCATCGTGTGGACGCCCCGGAGCGTCAGCAGCTCTCCGTTGGGGACTTCCTGCTTTCACGCTGAGTATGAGCTGATGCAGAGCATCGTTTCCAGGTTCAGCAGCTAAAGTAAAGAGCGGTGATATAAAAGGAGTGCAGTGCTGTTCTTTCTTATCTGACACCAAAGAGTTCAGATGAACTGAATAAAAACAGCAGGGGGTCACATGTTTCGCCGACAGGGTGAGCCTTTCCACGCTGCTTTTGATGTGAGACATCAGTGCGGCTCACTGTAACACACTCTGTATCCCGATGAACTCTGTGAGTCAGGCGTTCAGCAGAAACGAGGCGGCGAGCTGCTGCAGCGTTCAGCCTGCTTCACCAACATCATCAAAGGAGTTTTACCCGAGCTGATGATGGCTGCTTTGACCAGAGAGCTCCGAGGAGGAGGTGAAATGATGAAGATGAAGAGAGCTGCTTCGCTACATGTCTGACAAATATGTATACAGATGCATTTCTTTATGATCTCTGCCTTTATTAAGAAACTCTATCAGAATCATGTTTCTGTCTGTAAGAGCATCACGTAAGCCCAGCTGTGGCTGAGGGCTGTGTGTGTGTGTGTGTGAGGCACTTCCTCTGTGTGGAGACGCATGGAAGGAGGGCACGCTTCAGAGGGTGGATGCTGGCTATATTTAGCTCTGTGTGTGTGAAAGCCTCAGCAGCTAACAGTAAACAGATCAGGAGCTATAAATATCTTTTCCTTCAGCTCAGCTGAGCTTAAAATAGATCCTCAGCTCACTCTGCCACCTACAGGACGATGCTGGAGCTGCACACAGCCTCCATCTGGTGCCGGGGCCCCGTCGAGGTTATTGGAGTGTTCACTTTGTTTTTGGTTTTCGTCTTTTCTGCCCAGCATGTTCTGAGCTCTATTATTTTAGTTTATTTCTCTGCATGATTTTATTCTCAGTCTCAGTTCTGCCTCTTGGAGTTCGGTTTCCTTTGCTCTCTGCGTAACGTCTGCATTACTGTTCCCCTTTTCTGTTACTTCCTGTTTTATTTTGGTAGTCTTTTGTGCTTTGTATTTATTTTTACTTCCTTTGTCTGTTTTTCTCGGTCGAGTTCAGCCATCCTCCCTCGTGGTTGTGTGCTCGTTGGTCTTAGAGCCTACAGCTCGACATTGTTCTGTTAGTTTGTGTTTTATGACTTTATGCTTTGTATCCAAATTTTAGCTGTGTTTTTATTAAACCCTTATTTGAACAGGTAGTCGCACTGAGACTCCATGTGTCATTTACAACACACACCTGTTTCTTATTATATTGTTGATGAAATCTGTGACAGACACCAATGTAGTTGGTCTTTCACTTGCTTCCTTCTTTCTTTCACTCAGTCTCTCTCCTTTGTTCCTAAAAAGTGTGACCTCTGCCTCTGGCCCTCTGTCTGAGAAAAGAGAAAGGGATGGAGGGATACTGGAAAGGAGGCAGGGAAGAAAATGTTATTAGACGATGAAAAAGGAGAAAAAATGAAGATGGAAGTGAGCTGGAAAGAAAAAGATGATGGCGGCAAGAGGAGGCGGGAGCTTAAGGTCTATATAGAAAGGACTGGAAGACAGAAATTGTGCGGGAATAGAGGCAGAAGCTGGAGAGAAGACCACAAAGGAGAAGAACAAGAAGAACAGCTCACATTGATCACTAAATCCGTAAAAACCCTGCTGATATAAAGATGAAGGCACACAGAAACAAAAGAAGAAAGGAAAATGGTAATGGGCCTGAAGGAGGAGGGGCATAATCTCTTGACACTCAGCAGCAGCAGCTACATGAGAGGGACGAGGCTGCAGCACACCAAGAATAGAAGCTTCAATTATTCCTCATAACAGCTGCTTCAAACATGCACAATTAAATTAAAACTGCTCAACAATCATACTGATGTTTGATGCATTTAAATCCACAGTCACACAGAAATGCAAGTGTAAGCGTGCACGGCTACCATCATGAAGAAAGGGATGGAACTGCTCAGTTTATACCTGACAGAGAGAAGCAATCAACTCCCTTATGCTACTGCAGAGACATGTAGCTTCAACCCTGCCTGCTCAGCACTGCTGCTGTTATCTGATGTGTTAGCATGCTGTCTGTGCAGATGTGTTAGCATGTGGTCTGTGCAGATGTTTTAGCATGCCGTCTGTGCAGATGTATTAGCATGCGGTCTGTGCAGATGTGTTAGCATGTGGTCTGTGCAGATTGGTTAGCATGCC